TATATTATTATTATATATATTATACATACATACAATAACATCCATATACTATATTATTGAATTTATATATGATAGTATATATTATATATACTAGAGACGATATACTATATATAGTACTAGGGTATATATATATTTATATATATATATGTGTGTAGTGTGTTGTGTGTGTGTGTGTGTAGGATTAGAGAAGAGAGATGAATATTATTCTATATATATACCTATTATATATNNNNTATATAATATTTTATAAAATATTATTAAAATAATTATATATAATATATATATATATGTGTGTGTGTGTCGTGTGTGTGGTGTGTGTGTGGGTGTGTGTGTTTGTGTGTGTGTGTGTGTGGTGGTGGTGTGTGTGGTGTGTCAGTGCTGTGTGTGTAATATATATACTATGTATATATATATATATATAGTATATATACTACATATAGTTAATGATATATATATGATATATATATTATACATATAATATATACAGTCAACATATAATATATATATATAGTACTACATATATATGGATTAAGTATATATTACTCACGATCATAGTAGTATGCATGCATAAACATATGAAAATATATATATAATAATATATAGTATATATATATATATATATCATATATATATATATAGATATATATTATATATATTTGTATGTATATATAATATAGTATAGAAGGAGATAAGAGCTAGTATATAGTAATAAGTATAACTAAGCGAGTGTATGTTATGACTTCAATGATAAGGTACATATAATACTAGCTATATATTTATATATATATATATAATCATACATATATGTATATATATATATATATATATATATATATATATATATATACTATTATATAGTATATATATATAATATATATATATATATATATTATGTAAATATATATATATAATATATATATATTATACATATATATAATACATATATAGTATATATTACCATAATAATCTATATTTATATTATTTTTTTATGCTATATTATATTATATATTATTATATATATATATATATATAATATATATATATATATATATATATAGTATGACAGTAGTATTTTGCTTCGCTGATTATATTAATTACTATCTATCTACTATATAGTATATATACTTTTTTTCATGCTTCGGAAGTGAATTGTTAAGCAGAGGGTTCTCACTCTATACCATTACTTATCTTTTATATAAGAAATAGATGCGACACCTTAATAAATCTACATTACTTGGATCTTAATTCAAGAAATGAAACGAACGATAAACGCACGTTCGCTGTATAAAAGTGCGAATTTTCGGCATGAGAAAGGGGCGAAAAAATGTGGAGAGAGGCATTACTCCGAGTAAGTGAAAGGAGAGAGAGGAAGGAAAGACGAAAGAGCGGACGATTAGAACGATAGAAGGAGGGAGAAAATGGAATACCTTAATAATGATAATTCCAGTAATGATGGAACAACAGCTGATATATCCTTGGGAAGTGTATGATATTGTTGGGAGAGATAGACAGGGACGGAGTAAATCAATCATTGTGTTCCCCTTGATAGTGCCTATTCTATTCCAGCACCTTCACACACACACATACACACACACACATGGATACACGAATATAGTATGTTAAAATATAGAATAATATATATATATATATATACGCTATATATATAATATATTATACTCGTATCATAATTCATATGAGTATAATATATGTGTGGTATACACATAAGGAATGAATGCGAATGAAAATAGCGAAAATGAAAGTGAGAGAATGTGAAAATAAAAAGAAAAATATCAAGAACGAAAAAAGGGGGCATGAGCAAACCGAAGGAATACAAAGGAGAAAGAGATTAAGAGAGAGGAGAGTTAGAGAGAAAGAGAAAGAAAGGGAGAGAGAGAACGGGAGGGAG